TTTGACTCGAGGGCACATGACAACAACCATCTCTAGAATACTAATTGTCTCGTCAATTAGAGACTAACTTTGAGTGAAGGCCCTGGCTGACTCCTCCTCTAGGATTTCTCCCAAAGCATCAGGGCACAGCACTGAGCACAGAATGAATGCACATTGGATCTTTTTCCTCTAAATTAAAATCCAACTGTTTTGCTGCTTTCTGAAATACCAAGGTGGGGGTTAAGGGAGCAGACATGATCTTTTTAAAAAACTTCTTCCACGGAGACTCAAGTACTGTGATTTGTCCCTTCGATGTTCCTCGGAGCAGAGGCCCCATTTCTGGTTTGCAATGTGTACAATGATTAAGATGGCTGCAGTTTCTTTCAGAGGGAGCTCTTCTCACCAGTCACTAGAATATGCTAAGAGGTAAGCTACACACTGAGGCTTGGGAAAGGTGCCTTCAGCTGGCCTGACATTCTCGGGGCCATCTTGTAATATAATTCTGCTGTGTTCCTTTTTACTAAAAATAAAACCCTTATTTACAGAACTTTGGCAGAGCCTTCCAAACAGAAATCTTTCAGAATTTCAGCAGTGTAGCTCACTTTTGGCTGTTCTGAACATGTTCTACGCTCCAAAGTATATCAGGTGGGAGGAATTCATCAGATTTGGGGTGCCTTTGTAATTATATGACATTAGAGTATCTGAGAATTACTTCTCAATTGTTTGCCTGTTCACATTTATCAAATGGGTCTACGAAGAAGAAGAGAGGTAACTGTGTATTTCCATATAAACACTCAATCTTCTCAGAAGCTTGTTATTCAAATTATTACCTCAAATCTTTCAGAAGACTTCAGAAAAGTTTGTCAGAAAAACAGATCAGCCTAATCAAACTGGATTTCAAAGCTGTCTTCCTCTGTTCAGTTTTCACATTTTTAGCATTCAAATGACTAAAATAGTTGCTGGTACAAATACTCAACAGTCAGAATGCAAGCTACTTGGAAAAGAAAAGGCCAATGATAACAGAATTCCTCCATTGTTGTACCCCCTGGGGGGGGGGAGGAGCTTACTGCAAAATAAGAGAGTCAATTAAGCAAATTAATAGAGGACATCAGTATCTTTAAATTCCAAGCAAAGCAGCCCTCTTCCTTTACCTGGCATGAAACTAACTCTGCCTGAGAACACCTTCTCTGAAACCTCAGTGCCAACCCAGCCACCCAGCTGTTTGCTGCAACTGCCTCCAGCAACTTCTCCTCAACAAGGTTGCAGGAGAAAATGGCTTCCAACAAGAGCTTGCCTTGGCTGCAGGTTACCACAAGGCTGGTCACCTGATAACTCCTACTAAGAAAGTGACTAGTGCTTGACGTTCACTCCTCATGACTCTACTCCATTACCCTTATAAATCTCCTAGCGGCAATTTATGCAGATTTGGATAGTCCTTCTTGTTTGCTTAGTGTTCTCCATGTCTGACCAGGACTGCTCTGTTTCTTCCTATGACCTAGAGTAATGATGCCTCTCCCCAGGCTCCGCGATCTAGTTATTTCCCACTCCTCCTGACACAGCAATAACCACAGCAAAGGAACTGGGCATTACAAGGAAAGACTGAAGTCTGACTTACCTGCATAAATATCTATTCTGGTGGCATCAGCATCTCTGCAAAAATTTTTTAAAAAAGAAAAAATCAAGATTCAAATGAGAATATGAAATATCAGCCATCAAAATGTATAGTGTTTTGTCTGTTTTCAGAAAGCCATATAGAAATTGTATGTACACTTGACAACACAATTTTCCTTATATATCTATGAAATACTTCTGGAACACCAATTTCAGATAATCATGACACACATGCATTTGTTATGTTTTAATGCTGATGTCGTGGTGAAAACATTTAGAGCATGATTAAGAACATTTTCCTTTATATACTAAGAAATTACTCAGGTATGTGGTTCTCTCACAGGCAGTCCCTGAGTTACAAACGAGATTCGTTCCTAATATTCTTTAAGAAAGTGTAGGTCAGCTGGAGGAAGCTGTGGTAGCATAGTGCCTAAGGCACTTGACAGCTACGCAGAAGGCTGGCGGTTCAACCCCACCAGCCACTCACTAGCCACCATATCACTACGGTATCCGTAGTGATACCACCTCGGAAACCCAACGAGGGGTCGCTATGAGTCAGGTCCGACTTGACAGCACATAACAACAGGTCAGTTGGAACAGGTGCATGTGGTTCTTATTTAGCCTAACTTTAATGTAAGAAAAGGCTGAAGCCTTTTCAATGATTTAAAAGCAGCCTGTGAGGCAAATATAGCTTTGAACCCATCAGCTACTCCCCAGAAGAATGATGGAGCAGTCTGCTTCCGTGAAGATCTGTAGTCTTGGAAACCCAACTGGGGGATGCTATGAGTCAGAATCGACTCAATGGCAGTGAGTTTGGTTTTTTGAGATTAACCTTGCAAGGAAGTCAGGCACCCTATTTGGACTCCAGGTATCAGCTGAAATTAAACAAGTTCAGTCATCAGTGAAGTCGTCCATAAAAGCATGGAAGTAAGCTAATTTAATTCTGTCAATTGCAGGAAAGAAAAATGAGGCACAAGTGTGTTTCATTGGTTTAAAATGCAAAAAGACCCCTCTAAGTCCACACAGCTCCAGATGTGCCTATTCCCAAAGACATAAAAAACATTTTCAGATGGAAGAGAAAGGTTGTCAAAAAGTATGCGTAAGATTCCCAATTATCCTCTTGTTCACTATGATACACAAAAAAGCAGCCTACCACAGCACATCATGGTCTTGATAAACTGCCAAGTGGCAAATTCCAACACTGTTCCATTAAGCTACAACATTTCTATATTAAATGTAAAATTATGAGTCAACCAGGATTGAAACAAAATGGGACTTTTCTTCTTAAACAACATGCTAACAAGTGCACTTCTGTGAATAGCCTAGTTAGTAATAGCAGTAAAAGTTACAGGTATATAACAGGAAAAAACCCACTGCCATTGAGTCGGTTCTGACTCATAACGACCCCCCTTGGGTTTCCAAAGTGGTATCATTATGGAAGTAGATTCCCTAACCTTCCTTCCGAGGAGTGGCTGGTGGGTTTGAACTGCCAGCCTTCTGGTTAGCAGTCAAATGCCCTAGGCACTACACCACCAGAGCTCCTCTGTAACAGGAGACAGGAAATTATCAGCAAGCTCATTAACTGGGAATCTGTTTAGAAGTACTTCTACGGTCAATTCTTACCCTCTTCTTCATTAGTCATCAACACTTGGTTCCATAAATGATATGTCTGAATTTTGACTGTATTCAAAAATACAGTTAAGAACACAACTAAGACAGTATTTTCATAATATAATTATAAACAGAATCCTGATCTGGACTTTGTTATGTCTCTGAAGTGACTCAACCTTCTATTCAACCTTGCACAATAACATTTATATGTTTCTATCACTAAAAACTCAGTATAAGACTGCTCAAGAATGATCCCTTCCAAGTTCAGCTGCTAATAATGGAAGGTGCTATGATCAATATAAAATCATCTGACGATAAAACATACATTTCTAACAGCAAATAGTGTACTATCAAGGTGGTGGTGGTGTTGTTATGTGCCGTGGAGTCGGACCAAGGTAGTACAAATTAAATCAGAGCTTGTCTGTTCTGTTAATTTTATTCTTAAGTTTCTATTTTAATCCTCTACATTTCACTAGTTATCTTGTTCTGATACATGAGGGAAGGTATGTTTGGAGGTAATAAGTTCACTATTTTAAGGCTAAGACACAAAGAGCAATGAACGAATTCAAGTTAATCAATTAAAGTGGAAGTACCAACTAATGGGCTATTAAAAATGCTTTTCGGTTAAAGGGTCTCTTAGGAGTTGCAGCTGCTACAGAAATGCCTTCCTTTCAAGTCTTTAGAGAGCAAAGGTCACAAAAACCCCACAGAGTTTTCACTACGAGCACAGACTGTATGTGTCCACAGCATACATACATACCTTGCATTGTCAACCAGTTCAGCAAGAGCACCAAATAAGAATTCATGAGTAGTTCTGAAATGATAAGTACAGAGTCACCTAAGGAATTGTGGAATTAAGATGTCTAATAAAAAATCAAGATTATAAAGTAGAAAAAATCTAGAATTACCATCTGCATTACTTATTTACAATACTTCCATTTCTCCACAATTCAAGTCTTTCGAGTTCACTAATCCCCTTCAAGTGTTAATTTATCAAGTCCTGCTATCTACTCAGAAATGCTGATTCTTCCTGTTTTGGGTTGAGAAACCCACCCTAATGCATTATGACTCCTATGTACCAATTGCTCAAAGTGCTTTTCACTACACTTCATATTCTGCCTAGAAAAAGGCAGAATTTGTCATTGCCTTTCAGCTAAACTGTTGGTTTCTGCATATCTCTTACTACACTCAGTGGACAGCTTACAATTTTGCTTTACTAATTCTCATGTGTGATCTACCAGTGAAAAAGGAAACCACATGCATCTGTGCAATTTATAAGGAAAATAAAAAGAATTTTGTTTGTATGAAGGACAGGAAGAAGACAGTGATCCATTTTTTCACTTTCCTCGCCAGTAGTTTTCTACGAATGGATGATGACTAAAAATATAACTTTCTCCACATTAAAGAAAGAAATCTCAGCCTCTCTTAAGCAATTGCTTACAGGAGGACAACAGCTTGGTCTTCTAGGGTTGCTATTAAAGCTCACCCCTGTGAGCTGAGCAGTTGGTGGTTCTCCTCCTCTGGGAGACCGCTCAAAGCTTGACTTGGGTAAACATACAATTGCCACGTTATTCAGGACTCAATAAAAATTATATTTATTATATTTATTAAGATGTGTCTGCAAGTCTTCTTCCATTTACACTCTCTTTGATTTAGGCTATTTCCCATACTAGCCCTCATTAGATATGAAAGTAGAATATGTCCACCTAGAACCATCAAGAAAATCAGCTTGACTTCCGATGAACAAAAGTATAAAACCATTAACCCACATAACATATTAATGATAAACTCAGCAATTTTTCCAAAACACTCTATTTTCTGCATACAATAAGCTTCAGCTGATGGATAAAGTAACAACTTCTAAAAATTTAGAATGAAAATATAGTAATTTGAAATAAGCAGTAGCCTTACTAGGATCTCTGCTCACTTACCAGGGGAGCCCTGGTGGCACAGTGGTTAAAGCACTCAGCTGTGATCCAAAAAGTCAGTGGTGAATACAACAGCCACTCCACAGGAGATACGGCACCCTGCTTCCATAAGGATTAAAAAACAAACCAAACTCACTGCCATCGAGTCGGATCTGACTTATAGTAACTACTCCTTGGGTTTCCAAGGCAGTATCACTATGGAAGTAGACTGCCCAAATCTTCCTTCTGAGGAGTGGCTGGTGGGTTTGAACCACCAGCCTTCTGGTTAGCAGTCAAATGCCTTAGGCACTATGCACCAGAGCCAGGATTACAGCCTTAGAAACCCTCTGGGGCAGCTCTATTCTGTCCTATAGGATGTCTATGAGTTGGAATTGACTCATGGGCAGTGGATTTTTGGTTTGGATCACTTACCGTATTGTTCCAAATTGTGATATGTTTATTTATAAAATAAACACTCAAAACTGAAGTGTCCAAGAACACTGTTTTGTTTTGTTAGTAACTCTTCAAATTCTTACAAATGGAAATTTCAAATTAAACAAAACTACTGGTTCTTGACATTGTAGGATGAACTTTTTCCCATGAGATCAGTGAATGTATCTGTTGCTAATCCAAAGAAGGCACCGATGCATACGTAACATAAAGTAGAAATTCCATCTCAGTTCTAGAAGAGTTCAAATTCTTCTGGCTAAAATCCAATTCTTACTTTTACATGGAAGAATCCAATTTCTAAAAGAAAACTTGTATTAAACAACCAATCTCTTCAGTTGCTAAAAATATCTAAATTTCTAGAAACATAACCTTACATTTTTCAAATGATTAACTACAGATACAGGAAGAAATAAACTAGAAATTAGCATGATTCGCCAAAGGTAATATTGTTGTTGTTGTTGTTATGTGCCGTCGAGTCAGCCCTGACTCATAGCGACCCCTCCTTGGGTTTCCGAGGCAGTATCACTACGGAAGTAGGATTAGATAAAAGTAAATCTAACCCTTGTTTTCAAGTCAAGATAGTTTTCCTATCTGATTTACCAGTGACTTAAAAACTTAAGTTTTTTTTGAATTTTGAGGATAGTTATATAAAATAACCATCTTTATGGCAATGCTTTTAATTTCAACATGAATCTATACTTTTACTTAAACCAAAGAATCTCAGAAATACAGCTCCTGGAAAAAACAAGAACATAGACATACTAACACTGATACTACCTACATCTTGTATGCAGAAAGTGCTAGCTTTGGAATAAATAAGTTAAAAAATAAAATTCCTAGTCTTTGGTAGTGAGAACAGTCAATATGAATAATCTGAAAGCCTGATTCTGACTCCCTTTGCTATCAAGACAAGGAAATTAAAAAAAAAAAAAAAATGCAACTGCTTCTCAGTAATACTTACTTCTGATTGCTTTACATAATGTGAGACATTTAGAATTCAATAAGCAGATCTCAAAAAGACAAGCACAAAGGAACTCTGCCTCTCTAAGTTTCTGCTGCTTTACATACAATATTTCAAAATGTACATTGAGAATATAAAAACAACATTCTAAACTGGTCTTTTGTTCCACATAGGATCGATGCTGTTCCATACAGATTTCAGGTAAGCTAACATATATGTTATGTTTAAAATGTAGATAACAGGAAGTACTTTTACAGTGGCAGTACTGATCATAAAAGAGACTTTTACGATGACTGTTGGTAAAGTCAGAGACAACTGAGCCTTCTTTGAACCTCCAAAATTCACTCATGATGGATCCTACTAACAGATACTAAAGCCAGTTCTAAATAGCTCCTAAAATGGTTAAGAATCAAAAACATATTGCTGCATAAATTCTTTTTTAAAATAATATTCAAAGTTGTTGTTGTTATATGCTGTCGAGTCTACCGCGACTCATAGCGACCCCTCCTTGGGTTTCCGAGGCAGTATCACTACGGATGTAGATTGCCCAACCTTCCTTCTGAGGAGTGGCTGGTGGGTTTGAACCTCCAGCCTTCTGGTTATCAGTCAAGTGCCTTAGGCACTGTGCTATCAGAGCTCCTAATATTCAAAGAGGCACACTCATTGCTAGCTAGCACTTGAGATAGAATAAACAGGTGTCAGAAAAACTTTGCTCCATAAACCTAGATACTTCGCATAAACTCCAAGAAAGATCAACCATCTGGAAAAAGACAAAAGATTTTTAACAAGCTCTTTCCACTTTAAACTTACCACGGTTTTTATATAATTTGTTCTATGTTGTAAACAGTTTAGCAACTCAGCATTTCCAGTGACAAATTCATGTGTAAATCAACTTGTTAGGAAAGAAAATGATCTTATTTAAATTGTGCTTGAATTTTAACCAACACATTATCCACAAACCCAATAGCTTCTGGTGAGTTCTTGGATATGCTGATAATAGTTAATCTGCCTTAATTGCTACCAAAAAAAAAAAAAAAAAAATTCTGGAGCAATCACTTTACATTCAAACGCCTTTAACATATTTAGAAGGTAGATCCAGGTTTCAACAGGCTTATAAATAGTAAGAAACATTCTAGAGTTGATTCTTTTCTCTATGCCCACTTCACCTTGGATAAAGCAACCCAGAAATATCATACAGCCAAGATAAGAAGTCATTATTACATGTGCCAACAGGAATAGGAATAAAAATTAGACATCTTACGCTTAAGCATTCTGCTCTACCAGACCACCAGCAGTAAAGCAAACATACTTGCAATAAGCATCTTATGACAAAGGAACATCATAACCTCCACTACATGGGGTATCGAGGACCTAGATGGTTCATGAACTTTTTACTAGCAGTTATTAACCCCACCACCAAAGACCAGTAGCAGCATAAAACTCCTCTTATTTAATCCCCCCCCTTTTAAAATCAACTAATATTAGCCAACATCCACTATTAAAATAAAATAGCACAACGTTTTCAGGCTATCTTGAGAATTTCCCAGCCCTGCTTTAAGCCTTAATGCTGATATAGCCATCAATAACCATAAAGAACATAACCATCAACAATTACGACAAACCTGGTATCTATCTATATGTAAATCAAGACTGCAGCTCTACAATTCACTAAGAATTCTTCTGCCTTATGAGTAGCACCATACTGATCAACTCCTGGTTTATATAAACTAATAGTGTAAATAATAATCACCATCCACTTTTACTGTGTGCCATGTATGGCCTAAGAACTTTATATCAACATTATGTAACCTTCCTAACCACTGTGTATAAGATTAGCCCCATTCTATAGATGATAAAACTGAGGCTCAGAGAAGTTAACTTTCCCAAGGACACTGGCAGGAAGTAGTCAAATCCAGGTTTCAATTGCTCCCAAGTCCATGTCCTTTCCACTGTACCAGACTGATCGTACCCTTCTAGCCTGGACTCTGCTTACAAGTCCATATTAAATAGGTGGCAAGGAAAGGTCATTTCTTTAACTCACAAGACAACACTGCAGATGTCAGATATCCTAAAATGGACTTGTGTTTCTTTTAATTACAAAGAAGTTATTGTAAGGCAAATCATCTTTCACTGAAGGTGACTAACAGAACCACTTAACAGAGGCAGCACATTTTCCATTATGGCAAGAAGTCCTATTATTTGAGAATTTAAAATTTTCAGTTTCCTCTTTAAGATAAAAATGAACTTCCAATCAGGTGATCACAACGAAGAAATCTCTTCAAATTAGTTAAAAATGGAAAACACATCTTGGTGTTCTAGGGTTCAAACATTCTTCTGGCAGGACCAGACATATTCAAAAGTAGAATTTCAAAGGTCAAGGTTGTGATTCTGGTAAGAAATTCCAGAGCTCCCAAAATGATATCGCAACCCTCAAATATTCCAGCAAGCAGGTGGTTCCAGTAAAACATGGGAAAGTTAAATTGATAAAAATTGTCCAACTTCACCTTAAACAAGTGACTTAAGTGAGGTTAACCTCTTTGCCTTGACTCTCTCCACCTACTGTTAATAAGGTATAAAAGGGAAAAAGAGGAGCAGGGAGAAAATATTACAGAATCCTCAAATTACGAAAATTCATTTCAATAAAATAAAATTTAAGATTTTAAGTAGGAAGGAAACTCTGTTTTATAGATAAGGAAAAGCCTTTGAAGGTGAAACTGACTAGAGTCAGTATTGCATAATGGTCAAAAAACACTTATTATTTTGTGACCAGACAAATCTTTTTTTTTCCCCCAGATAAATCTTAATGCCATATATCTTGGTGCTTTAAATCTGACAGCCGTTGTGTAATCTTTGGCACGTAACTTAATTTCTTTGAGCCTCAGTTTCCTCATTTACAAAAACAGAAATAATCCTTATTACACTGGGTTGCTGTAAAGATCATTTTAGACATTTAAAAACAGTGATTGTCATGACACAATTACAGTTGTTACTATTTATCATCACATAGTCTTTGGAGAAGCTGGAACAAAAACTCAAGATTCTGAAGTCCAGTTGATGGTCTTCTAATATTACCACCTAATCTTAACCATATTTGTTTTGAGTTTTGGCCTGCCGTTCTAAAACTCAGAATTGAGTTTTATGTATGTATCCAAACACAATCATATATTAACAATCTATGTGGTCTTCAACTGCCTGTTCTTAACAAAGCAGTTTAAACTAAAAAAAGGACCTTGAAGGTTCTGCCCAAGGCTGTGCTATCAAGCTGGTGAGTAATCTTTGATCAGCCATCTCATCTAACTGGGCTTTAGGGTTCATAATCCATCTGCATGAGAATTTGCCCAGGTGAGCTCTAAGATCCCTTCACTAAAGTGCTCAATAAAGTGTTCAATGGTAACTGTGCAAAATAAAACAAAATAAACCTGGACTCTCACCTCTGGCAACTCACTTAACTAATGAGGAAAAAAAATTATTTCCTTGAGAGCAAGAATATCAAACAAAAAAGTAGACAACATTAAGGAATTACACACATGCTGTCTTTTCCATGAAAGGCTAAAATCACTGGACTACTGTTATTGGAAAACTGAAATCTATATTCTCCATCCTAAAGATGTTTCTTCAGATAACTTGGGCCATACATTTAACTCCTCATCATGTCTCCAGGTACTAAAATGGTAGCTTACCTTGACCTCAAAAGTAACATGTGAATGTACTTTAACAGTTTTAACCCCACTTGCACACTTTCAAGGAAATGGGCATAAGGACTCCTTGAAACATTCCAAGAGCAAACTGGAGTGATAATAATTTCTTCATGAACTCAAGAACCATGAACATATTATGTGTTCTAGCTCTGTGATTTGTATACATTTTGGAGAGGAAAGACTATTTAAATCAAGATTTAAACAAGTTGCCATTTCCTGCTCAGCAAATACAAACTAAATTGGATGTAGGGAACAATTTTCCCAGAAGATAAAGCCAAATATTCACAAAAAAAATAATAAACATTTTCTTCTTGTGAACTGAAGCTATACGTCTTCAATCTTTTTTTCCCTTTATGAGTTGTTATAACCAAATGTTTTGTGCATCGTGACTAAAGAGCAGAAAAAGTTCATCTTGGTACAGTCCAACTTCTGATGGTCCAAAGAGTTGTATTTGTTGGATTCCTACCAAAAATTTGAGCAAAAATCTTAATATAATGACTTGAAATAACTAAAGTTTGCATTACAAAACTTTGATCCAATAAATGAAGATCAGATTCTTCTGGATTAGCAATAAATATTTCACTGATCTCAATTCTTCAATACAGAGCTCAAGATTCATCCTGTGATAACATCCCATTCCAGTGATAATCTCAAAAAGTGAGTAATTTTCTGTGGAAAGGATTTCCACACTAATATCAAGTAATTCATCATCAGTTACCTTTGTGGCACTATGCGATACTTACGAATTAGTGTGCAGGTATTCAAAAGTTAGCTGAGCTCGATTCAGACTGCTATAATTTGTGAAAGCCATGACTGCAGTGAGTTATCCAGTTCTTTACCCACTAACTGAAAAATATAACCTGATAACAGAATATACGTTCCAGGATTCTTTCCAATAAAGGTTTGTTAAGTCTGTTCTCTTTAAAGACAGTGAAAAGAAGTTATGCAGTATCTATCCAAAATATATTTAAAGAGATGGCTAAAGCTACAATTGAGCTCTTCCTTGAATTTTTTTTATCTTCTCAACGACTATGACGTAGTATCTTGGAAGAAACTACGTCATAAACCTGTAGTCCTAGGAGTTTTTAGCATTAAACGGCTATATTTAAATTCTGATGATTGTAGGTGGTCCTGAAGTATAGATGGTCCTGGAGTTGGTGGTTTATTACTTCTCCATCTTCATGTTTGAGCTTTGACTTTTTTTTGTTCCCCTAAATTTCCTACGATCAGGAAATTTACAATCCATAAATTCACCAATCCGGAATTTTACCAACTTCTGTCATAAAATTTGACAATCACCCATGGCTTCACCACCAGCGATTTCAGGATCCTTAAAAGGGCCCGAGAACGGCAAACACGACGTCGACGTCGACAGAGTGCTTCACCACCTCCCAACTGAAAGGCCTCTTAAGCGCTGACAGACGATTTGTTTCAAAGCCCAGACCTAATTCAGATTTCAGTCCCGCCCCAATCTCTTCAGGGTCCGGGGCCAAAGTACCTCACACTGGCCCACTAAATCACCTCAGAGTCGACCGCCCAAATCACCACAGGCGGGCCGCGCCCTTCCCCCGCTTCCCTCAGACAGCGGCCTCAGCCTCTTAAGGCCCTTCCCGGGCCTCGGTCCCGTGGCTTCCTCCTCACGAAAAGGAGTCAGTCCAGATTTAAGGCCGGGATAGAGGGCAGCGGCAAAAGCACCACACGACCGGGCGTTGCCGGGCCCTCGCAGCTGCCTTTGTCCCTCCCTACGGAATTGGAACCCAACAACCGCAGCGCGCGCTTGGAACCATGTGCTGCCGCCGCCTCCGCCTCTGCCGCCGCAGCCGCTGTGCGCCGCGCTGGATGAGGAGATGATGACAAGACACAACGCCGTGGGCTCTGTGTTTAGGGCTGCTCCGTCGCCGTCTCTGCCACAACCGCCACCACGACAGCTACCGCTTTGTCTCGGCTAATGCACAGCCCCGCCAGCCTCGCGCACTCTCCTATGCCCCAAGCCCCCGAAGCCTCCGCGGCTCATTCAGCCAATCAGTGAGCCGCAGCTCCGCCCGCCCCCGCCTTGATGCGCTGTCTCCTGATTGGCGAGTACCTCGAGCCCACGTGACCGGATCTGGCTGGCCAGGTCCGCCCCCATCACGTGAGAGCTCTCTTCGCTCTTCCTGCTTTCTTGACCCTCTCCGCCATTTAAAGAAACAGTACCGGGGGCGGGCCGAGCGACGCAGCCGGGACGGTAGCTGCGGTGCGGACCGGAGAAGCCATCTTGTCTCGTCGCCGGGGAGTCAGGCCCCTAACTCGAAGAAGCCCTGGCGCGCCCTCCCCCCCTCCCCGGTCTGGTAGGGCGAAGGAGCGGGCGCGCGGTCGATCGAGCGATCGGTTGGCGGCTCTTCCTCCTGCTCTGGCATCCAGCTCTTGGGGCGCAGGCCCGGCCGCCGCGGCGCGCGCCCGGTGGCCGTTGGCGCTCGCGCCGCGTCTTTCTTCTCGTACGCAGAACTCGGGCGGCGGCCTATGCGTTTGCGATTCGACGAGGAGTCGTCCGGGTGGTCGGCGGCGGCGGGCAGCTGCTCCGCCCTGCTCCCGGGGAGGCGGCGGCGGGATTTGGCGCGGCCGGGGAGGCGGGGGTGGCCGGGGCCGGCCTGGAGGCCTGGCGCCACCCCTCCGGGACTGCAAGGACCCAGTTGGGAGGGCAGGAGGAGGCAGGGGGATGGTTGGTGGTGGGCTTTCTGCTTTGCCTTTTCCTTCTTATGCCGCCTTAGTGAGAGGCGAGAGCTCTGGCGGCAGCTCCGGGTTGGGGAGACGAACCCCGGAGTCGGAAGAGCTGGGTTTGCTTCCGGCCTAGCCACCAGCTGGCCGAGTGACATTAGGGAAGTCACTCTGTAATTTGCGCCTCAGTTTCCTCCTCTGCCCATCAACGTTTTGTGGGATTGAAAGCGCTTAGTAGGCTCTAAAGGTCGTTATACGTAAAAGACGATTATTGTAAAGTTTTTTGAGTTGTGAGAAAATTTCATTGCCCAGTCCTTGGATTTTTAAGCTGGAAACCTTGGATTGGTGGTGGAGATCTCCAGGCTCCCTGAAATTGTATGCGGAAATTTGTGAGAGTGAACATTTTTGGGGAGTGAGAATCCATGTTTGTCAAGTTTTCATAGGAGGCTGTGACCCAGTAAGAGTTAAATACAATTCATTAGTGCCACAGGGAGGAAACTGAGGCCTAGATGTCATTTGGGACACTTCACAACCAGTTTGAAGTCCTAAGTCCCTGGGATATGTGAGCTGTTTCTATGCATAATGGATATTTGGGGTGATAACACTCCCCTGCTTGGCTTATGTTGAGTCCTTTTCTTCAGGGTGCCTGAAGGGTGACAGATGAATAATGGTACAGTGGCACCTAATACAAAGCAACTCAGACTAGGAGTGGGTGCGTTCCCCAATATCAAGAAGCCTATTTAATTTTTGGCCCAGCAATTTTGCTTTCTGCTGCTTATTACTGGTGCCTCGCTACCTTTCTGGATCTTTTATTGACCATCTTCCACAGCCGTGGTTGCCCTCCATGTGCTTGCTCCTACTTAAATCCGTTTTTTAGAATGGTGCTGCTAAGCCCAGCGAATTAGCGGTGTGCGCGCAAGCAGCACACTGGAACAGATTCCACCAGACACAGAATTCCTAAACGTGCTTGGGTTTTCTATTTTTTCCCTATATTAATTGAAGGTTAACATGGTCTAAAACATTTTGTTCATAGAACTCCTGCTGAACTTCAAAATCAGTAGATTTGGAAGTGATTCGAAGCTTAACTTTTTCACAGCCAGCCTAGTATTTAATGGCTTGAAAGTGTGATACTAGGATGGCCAAAATGCCAGTTTTTGCTTCTTGGTTAATTGTTAGCTGCTTTTATCAAATTCCAGACCATTATCAAACACTATAGAAATGTTTGAACAGTTGGATTTCAAACATTTTCGTATTGTGGAGTGGTGCTTACCAGTGGTAAAGCTCTAAGCAAATGAACAGAAATAAACAAGTTTAAATGTCTTTTGTCTGCTTAGGTGTTAGCCAGTCCTGGTATTTCATACAAACGTTTGGGAAAAAAAAATCTATTGACTAGTCCCTTTGCCTAAGGGGCAAAGACAAAATGTTCTCCCTCCCAGAGAAATGACTGTTTTGGGGAAAATGTATTGGGTCTTTTAGCTCTTTTGTAATTGAATCTGGATGTACCTCAAAAGAATCTTAAGACTGTGGTGATAAGATGCTTTCTTCAGGAGAAAGGACGAAAAAAAAAAAAAAAACAACTGGAACTTGGCACTTGAAATTCTATGACAAACCGTGAGATGTCCAGGATTGAAGGTGGAAAGAGTTTCGCTGTGTTGTTCTGCACTAGCTGGAGCACATTTCTTTCACTGCAGCCACAGATACTGAATCCAGCTTTCCAGATTTCCAAGAACTGGACCTGGGACCTGGGAGAGCTAATCAGGATGGGGCAGAAACTCTGGAGCTAGACATTTTTTTATTTTTCAATTTTGGGACTCTCAACCTTGTGAGAAAAGAGACAATGATCGAGCAAGCACTGTCATGAACACTGTTACTGGGAATTAGAAGATCTGAGTTTCTGTTCAGACCCTCAGTGCATACTCTGAAAAGACTCCATCCACGGTGAACTACGGTACTTGCCATTTTACGAAATGCCTTATTGACCATCTCTCATCTTTGCTTAGGCTATCTTCTGTACCCTGGAATGCTTTCCTCTGGTTTTTCACCTGTCAAAACTGCCATTTCCTCAGTGTCTAACTCAGATGTCCTCTTTTCCATGAGTCTCTTAACTTCAACCAGAAATAATCTTAAGTTTTATAATATGTTGTTGTCTATCTTTTGATTATCTCTGTTTATACAATACCTTATAAAATAGTTATTTGCATGCATTTGCTCTCTTTCCAGATAGCAAACCCCTTGAAAGCAAGGGCCTTGACTGATGGCATCTTTGCCCACACACACCACCACCCATGATGAAGCTTTTATTAGAAAGAAGGAGTTTAGCGAACAGGCGATCTCAGAATAAGCACTCAGTAAGTGTTTGCTTAATCTCTGTGTGGTAACTAAAATTATTCTCAATTAGAGGAAAATCACCATTTTTTTCTTTTATTTTCTAGCTTTATTATAATTTGTTCATTCTTTGAAAAAGATCTAGGGAGCCCCCAGCCATAAAGAGAAAGTGATCAGTTGAAAGGGTAGTCTGAAAGAGGGCATAAGAACCAGGGCCACCCTGGGTACATCTCTGCTACTCTAGATAAAATCTTGTTGAAATGAAAATTTAAGAGCACCTTTTAAGAGGACAACTTAAAGAGGGCATTAGAAAAGTAATTTAAAAACTTACTGCCATGGAATCAATTAGACTCATAGTGACCCTTCCTTGGGTTTCTGAGGTGGTCCTCTACGGAAGTAGATTGCCCAGTCTTCCTTCTGAAGAGTAGCTGGTGGCTTTGAACCCCCAGCCTTCTGGTTAGCAGTCAAATGCCTTAGGCACTACGCTACCAGAGCTTCCTCTAGAAGAGGAATAGGGGCAGTATTATCTCCTTTGCTTTGTTGGTCTATAAACTCAATTTTTTGTACTGTCTCTGGAGCCACTCCTTTCTCTACCAACTACTGCCCAGATGCCTAACTAACTTGAATATAATCAAGTTACTCCCCCACAGTTTGAGGCTGGGCAGCTACCTGTTTGCTGCATCTCTGGGGCAGTTTGTTCTGAGGAGTCAGGAAAGGGTCTTTGCCCAAGAACTCTGTATTAGTCTCATCAGAGAGTGTTACTGAGGGCCCCCCCCTTATTTATCATTTTTC